TTATGAATTTAAGTCATTTGAAAATACAATGTTAATTTATTTGACGTGTTTTGTAGCATTTTATACTATTTTTTAGTGTACAAATTGACATAAATTCTACAGGTTTCATCGTGGATGCCATATTTATTCAGTTCCTTTTGGTTTAAAACTTTCCATCTTTATATTGTTAATGCAGTTATAAGTTGTAATTTTGATAGCTATTTAGATTTTAGGTTTTGGTTTAGATTCTTAACATAGGTAATAAATAATAAAAAATCTATACTATTTGAAAGTGTCATGAAGTATAATTCCTAAGAAGATCCCTGTGTATTTTTATGAATATAAGTCATTAAGGGAAACAACTTTGGTTCAAGGTGATCACTTTAAAGTTTTTATGGTTTCAAAAGAAATATTTCAAGGAATTTTACTTTGTTGATTTCAAACAACAAGGGATTATAGGTAGCCGAGTATACCGTTAACATTCAAGTTCACTAACTGATGTTTCAGAAAAGTGTGATTGCATTACGATGAGTGGTCTAAGGTAAGACAACCCCACATCAATGATGTATGTTTCCACCATAGGCTTTGCCAACAATGTAAGTCATGGCCCTACACGTGTACCCACATTACTATTATTATTATTATTTTGCATCATCGAAGTAGATAATGCGCAACGTGCACATGAGCACGACTCTCACGATCTCTGCTGGAAGCATTTAAATGAATGCAGTTTCTAAACGCGGAATTTATTTTAAAACTACATTTGTTATAAATTAGGTCGGGACTAATTTACTTCATCTTAAGGTCGGTTTATCCAACCTTATATATATATAAAACAACCTCCAACTGCAAAAAAAAAATATTTTTCAATATCTAAAGAATGTCCGTGTCCAATCTTTGTTTTAAATACAAATGATATATATAATAAAACAAGGGTCATTTTAAAACCTTTTGCTTTTGCATGACATTCATCTCAATTGGTGAAAACCATATTCAAAGTTACGGTGGGCGTTTTACGCTAACCTCTCTCACATAAAATAAATATTCAATTTCTATATGTATGATTCTCAAAAATTTAATCTTTACCTTTTTTTTATACTTCAACTTACACGATGCCTTTGAGAGATTAAAATTGTAATTTCTACAAAAAAAAACAACTAAAACTGAGATTTTCCAGGAAGTTTATGTAGAATATTAAATAAGTTGGGATGTTTTATGTATTAATTAAAGTAAAATGAAACCAATAGATCCTATTCTAAGCTAGTGCTATTTCATGAGATACTGTTTAGAAAGCTCTTGACATATAAACTTTAGTTTCAATTGAAGTGTGTTGTTGATGTCTCTTTTAATTTAGCTTTACGATATCGTAGATGTCTTCATTTTCTTATGTAAGACTTATAAGCTCAGTATTTATGAATTTATGGGAAGTATTAATGTAGATATAATACTAATAATTCTAAAGATGTATGACATCATTTGTTTTTTCGATTCCCTAAACACAGGCTTAAACAAAAGATGGATAGAATCCGATGCATCAAAGTTCAATTGCCAGAAGCACTCGCACGTCCAGTAAGTTTATTGTAATCAGTAATAACATAAAAACAGTTAATCCTATAAAGCAAATATTTTACCAAATTCTTACTAATAATGTACTGTTAGAAGATAATACAAACACAAAATCGATGCACTAATTTCTACATAACAACTGAAAGTGGCATACATTTCCCTGGAAAGCTTAAGTTATAACTTCGTGTAGAACGTTAAGTAACCTGGAAAAGTTTGTGCATTCATTTAAACAAATAACTCCAATATAGATGCTATTCTAATTTATTAACATTTAATAAGAAACTGTTTCAGCATGTCAGTTGTAGTTTGAATCAGATGTGCATGGCTTATGTGTCTTTTAATTCAAGTTTATGATATAATAAACGTCTGCATTTTGGCCTTCAAAAGCACAATGATGCCCGGTGGGTCAGCAGTAACTTCCCAAACTTACAACACAAAAATTCGGGGCTCGATTTCCAGCGGTAGTCATAGCGGATAGCCCAATGTGGCTTTGCGCTAAAACAAACAAACGCGAGCAAAATTCTTGCCTAAACGTGTTTAATTATTATCCAAACCTGTCCAGAAATGTTACTAGAAAGCTGATGATCGCAAGGTTTAGTTTGAATTACTGCTTATTTTAATTACATTTGAAGTAATATGACAGTAATAAGACATATGCTGCTATTCGAATATGTAGTGTAATAGAAAATAACTTAAACTTTCGATCAAAAATGCTAATTTACTTGCTTTTTATGTGTATATCGTAAATTTTATATATGTATTTTTTTTAAGATTATAACAAATATGGTATATTTCAGACTTCGATGAATGTAGTTGGGACAAACGAGACACGAGTTAAAAACAAGAGAAAAACAAGTTCGTTTTTATCAAATGGCAAGAATATGACTGTCAAAAAGAAGAAGAAAAAGAAAATTTCTCCTTTAGAAAACACAGTCAAGCGCGTGTACATTGACGAACACACAAATCCTGCCAATCCAGGAAGCATGGAAATAGATACCGTTAAACTCCGTCGTGTTTCAGGTGAATTTTTAAATGAAGCTATACCCCTCATGAATCCACAGGCTACGGATGGAGCATTGATGAAAACAAGAGAAGATGTTTCTTCTGATGATGGAGATCAGACACTTCATGCATGTGATTCTTCACAACCCTCCAATAAACAGCGTGGTTCAAGCCCATATTTCTTGAAGGCATACCAAATTTTAACAGGTTCCATGAGTAACAATGGAACGTCAAGTGATGGAATACAACAACCCTTAAATAGCTTCGACATAAGTTCAGCGCTTCAAAAAACAGATACATCACGTACTGGAGGTCATTTTTTAAAAACTTTCTCATCGTATGCTCCTTATAAAGCCCGTTATCCACCAAGAAAAGCTGCAATAAAACAGCCAATATTCCAAGAATTGGGTACAAACGACAACACAGGTAGATCAGAGAGAGAAGGACATCCTTCACATTCTCCTTATATACAGAAAAACCAACTGGAAGTACTAGCTCTATACTCTTCTGAATCTCCATCTCTCTGTCCTCCTTACAAACAGTTGCATCAACTAGAAACACAGCATATTAGAAATGACCACAATTATCCTCCAGTTTTTAAAGATTCTAATTTAAAAGACAATTCTGTGGAAAAGGTCAGTAATAGATTTTCTGCAGTGACATTCCCTCCATGTCCTCCTTATGCGCAGTTGCATGAACTAGAAACACAAAATGTTGATAATAAGTACAAAAACCCTTCAGTTTTTCAAAATTCTAGTCCAAAAAGCAAATCTGGAAAAATATTCGGTAATGTATACTTTTCGGAAATGATCTCTCCATGTCCTCCTTCCATACAGATGCATCAACTGGAAACACAAAATGTTAGTGG